GGGGGTTCAGTTGTATATGGGCTAGGTGAAATAATGGACCGATTTTAAAGATTTTCAATCGGATTCGTCCTTGTACTTTGATAACAATGTTTACATGGACACAAGGACGGTCGGACGGACGGACATCGTATCGGTATTCTTAAAGGTGGGTATGGTATTCTTAAAGGTGGGTATGGTACTAATATTTTAGTGCGTTACAAACATCAGCATAAACGCATAATACCCTTCCTACTATAGTGGTGTATGGTAAAATAAACAAGTAAGAAATTATAGTCGGGCGAGGCCGACCATATAATACCCTACACCAATTATAAAAAAATGTGATTTAGTGTTCATAATAAAGAATTTAAGTTGAATTGTACCTTGCCTTAAGCCATTTTATTGTTGAATAAAATTGTGGACATTTAAGTAAAATTTTGAAGGGGGCTTTGTATAGGGGCTAGGATCAAATGAGGCCCTATAATTATAATATTCATGAGGGTCATCAAGACTAGTATAGAATTTGGTTTTGCAGCTTTTTGTCGAGATAAGAGTATATTAAACATAACTATGAACTTAAAAGCCCTATTCGGGGGTTGTATTGGGGCTAGGTGAAATGATGGACCGATTTTAACCATTTTCAATAGGCTTTGTCTCTAGTACTATAGAAGATCATTCAATTATCTTCAAAATTGCGACCTGTAGTTTGATTGCAAGGTTTACATGGATGGACAGACAGACAAACAGACTAACAGACAGACTGATCGGTATACTTTAAGGTGGGTATGGGACCAGTATTATTGTGCACTACAAACATCAGCACAAACCCAATATTCCCTCCCCACTAAAGTGGTGTAGGGTACAATAAAAAGTAATAACACAAAAAACTTGGAACAGTTGAGATCGTCTGCATTATGTTTGATTTTCAAAATTCATTCTTTTAAATATCATTTTTGTTAAAAATAATAATATATTTTCAATATGCATATCGTATATAAATATATACTGTATGTATATTTATTATTAATATACATATATAGATTTAGTTCTTAAACATTTTCAACTGCATTATTTTAATATATACATTATGTTATATTTTGGTTTTTATTTTCATTTACTAAAGTTTAATTTACTATAACTAAAACTTAAATCCTTTCGGATTGTATTCTCTACATACATGTTAAGTACTTTTTTTGCATATTTTATTTATTTTATATTTTAAAATATTGTACATAAATAACTGTGTGTATGTTAAGTTTTGTGCATTTTTCACTTAAATATACATGTTTTATAAAACAAACTATTTTGTTTAGTTATATTTTTATTTTCTTCTCTCTGATGAATTTTTTGATTATATCTCTGGTGCATCATTTAGTATCTAACATTTAACTAATATTTTTTTTTAACAAATTCTGTAGCCCTAGCCTGTTTTTTTTTTAAAGGAAAGGGCGCCGATTTCTATGTTGCTATGGTTATGAAAAATATTTTTTTTATTCAATTAATATTTCTATTATAAATACAATTTAATATCTAGCTATTTGTTTCAAAAATTTATGCTAATATTATTTTTTATTCTTTTTTATGCTGGTATTAAATTTAGTTTAATATTAGTTTTTCATTCTAATTTTTCTGTTTTAGTTTTATGTTTTTTTGGTTGGTTATTTTAATGGTTGTTATCTATACATCTAAACAATTTTATTAAAATATTTTTAGTATTATTATTTTTATTTATTTTAGTTTATTTTATGTATATTTGTTATGCTGTTAGTGTATTAATAATGTAACAGTTTGGTTTTTAGAAATTTGCATGTTTTTGTTAAATAATTAAAAAAAATAAAGCTTATTCAGATGACCACATGGTTATATTTGGACAAATAAAATATTTTTGTTAAATTAAAAGGAAGTTTATGTATGTTAAAGGACGGATAAATATCCATGTTTAATTGATTTTGTTTTTATGTCTAATGTGAATGTCAGTGAGAATTTATTATAATTTGAATTAAATAAATGGCTAAATATTAACCTCCTTATTCATAAACAACATTTTATTTTATAAAAGGTTTATTAAACAAAATTTGATTTGAGTTATAAACAATATATTTTCTGTCTTACAAATAAGAGTTTGATTCTGATTTCATTTTTAAAAAGAATATTTCAAGGATAATCTTGTTTAAGAAAACAATTTTTTCTCCCAAAATAAAGAAACTTTTTTTTATCAAAAATGCTAATTGCTTTTCTTTTAGCATTGAGAAAGCTTTTCCAGAAAATATTATTTGGTAAATGTAAGTCAATGCTTTTTTTCATTATAAAATATTTTTTATAAAAAAATATTAAAACCGTTACTAAAATGGTTGTATTGCAAAAGGATTTATTAACAAATTATACTTTTTTGCCTAAAAAACATTTTCCGAAAAAATTCTTATAAAAAAAATTTATACTGAATGTTTTTTTATAATTTTTTTCTCTTAGAAAAGTTCGCTTCTCAAAACGATTTTTCATTAAAAAGCTTCATAGATTAGAAACGTTTTATAAGCTTATTTCACTAAAATCCATTTTGACTGAAATATGTGCCAAAGAAGAGGGGTTATATTGATTTTGCTATTCTGTTTTGTAACACATCGAAATACCGCCCATAAAGTATACATTCTGTGTCCTTGTAAAATTCTAAGATGATCTAGACATGTTCGTCCGTCTGTCTGTTAGTTGAAGGCATGATAGAGACCTGAGGAATGGATCTAAAATTTTTTACTAAAATTTTGTACATTGATCAGAAATATTTGTTATTGAAAATGAGCATTATTGGTCTATGTTTTCACATAGCTCCCATACAAGTGGTCCTAAGGAATATGGTTAAAATTGTCATAAAATATTTAATTGGGCATTAAATGTGATGAAATTTTGCACAAAATAAGAAATGTATAGAATGGCTGACTTAAACCTATAATTGACCCTTCTCCCTATAGAAGCCCCCCTTGAGAAAATTACTTTAATGCTCATAACTGGCTTAAAAATAACAATATAGCAATTAAATTCGACACAAGTAAGTTTTATAGGAACATAAATCTGCCTACTTAATATTTAAAGGATCGGAACATATTTACTTAATCAAACCCTCATATAAGAATACCTTGAGAAAATTACTTTAACTCTCATAACTGTCTTTAAAATAACAGTATATCTATGAAACTCTATATGAACAAGTTTTATAGAAACTAAAATCTCCCTATTTAATGTTATAAAAATCGGTCTATAATTGACAGAACCCTCACAACTTTAAAATATACCCTTCAAACATTGACCTTAAAGTTCATAACTAGCTTAAAAGTAATAGTATTCCAATTAAATTCAACACGAACAAGTTTTATAGAAACAAACATTTCGCTACTTAATTTTATAGGAAGAGGTCCATTAACGACCTTACTCCTTCTATAACGTTCCCTGTATAAATTGACTTTAATGCTAACTAAACTAGCTTTAAAATATCAGTATGTATTGCAATGAAAGTCATCAGAATTAAGTTTTGTGTGAATCTTAATCTCCCTACTTAATTTTACAATCATTGGTCCATAACTGACCCTACCTCCCATATAAGGTCCCCTTCAGAAAATGACATAACTATTTTGAAAATACCAATATAGCAATAGAGTTCGTCGTAAACAAGTTTTAGAGAAAATCAAATCTCTCTGGTAAAGTTTATTGGAATCGGCACATATCGGGTCTTGGAAACGCTGATAACTTTCTTCAAAAATCTGAAATGGTGATGAGATTTGATACAATGTGGCTGTATTCCGAAAATCACCACATATTACTACCGATACACTATAACACAATTCAACATATATGAATTATATGAATGTGTAATATATATACTTAATTTTATAAGAAGAGGTCCATTAACGACCCTATTCCTCATATAAGGTTTCTAGCATAAATTGACTTTAATGCTAACTAAACTAGCTTTTAATTATCAGTATTATAATTAAAGTCTTCACAGTGAAGTTTTGTGGGAACCACTCCCTAATTAAGTTTTATAATCATTGGTCCATAATTGACTCTACCTTCCATATAAGGTCCCCTTCGGAAAATGATATAACTATCTTGAAAATAGCAATAGAGTTCGTGGTAAACAAGTTTTACAGAAAATCAAATCTTTCTGTTAAAGTTCATAATCGGGCAATATCGGATCTAGGAGACGCTCATAACTTTCTTTGATTTTCCATACCATTAAAAGAACTTTTTTAGATCTGAAGACTACCATTAAATATTTAAGCACAACTCTATTAGAAAATTTTTTCTCAACTAAAAGTCTTTTCATTTAAAAGATTTTATTGTTTATGTTTTTGTTTACTATAAATTGCACCAGGTGTATGAAAAACTATACCAAATTATATTGGAAAATTTCAAATTAATTACAAAAGAATTTAAAATAATTACTGAAAGCTTTCGACATTATAAAATTATATTAGTTATCATAAATAATAACTTTTAAGAACTACAAATGAAACAAAGCTCAACCTCAAATGAATAATAAATGTATCTTTATGCAATCAATGTAAAGCCAGTTTTCTTATGTTTTTTTAATCGCTAAATTTCAGTTTAATGTGTAAATATGTCTACGTTTATTTCAATATCACCTACTTAATGCTACATACACACAATACACTCATGCATAAATTTTATTGTACTTAAACAGTACTTATATATTTATTTTATATATAATTTAGATTATATCTTATACATTAAATAATTGCTCTTTTTTATTTATAAATATACTTTTTTTTTTGTTAACAATTTATATATGTATGACATTATGTGTATTTGTATTAAAGTTTACTTATGTATTATATTTTGGTTTTCTTAACCAACAAGCCAACAATGTATGTAAAGATTTTAAATTGTAATTATGGAATATTTATGATGATGATCTTTGTACATGTCCGTTGAAGAAGCGAAATCGTTGTTTAATACCTGCTGCTGATAAACGTAATAAGGATAATGATTTCCATATTGTAATTGCTGCTGTTGTTGTTGTTGTTGCTGCTGATGAGGATGGTGATGTGGCAGACATTTTAATGTTGCCTGCTGTACATATAAAGGCGCTGCTGAATTATTAGTTGTAGTTGTTGCTGCTGCAGTTGTTGTAGAATTATTAGTAGCTAATAAAGCTTTTGGACAAGCACACGGCATTAAACTCGTATTTAAGTTTCCTGCGGTAGCTGCTGCATAACAAGCATCTCCTATGATAGGAGGTCATCATGGCAGCTACACAAGTAGACTCGGTGCCAGCCATTCATCTTCTGCAATCTATAAAATATTGAGAATTTGTAACATCATCATTTAATCAGTTTAATTGAATATCAATAAGTAGGATTTATAAAGTGCTTGTGTTAGAGGACTTTTATATTATATTACAGGGTAGAAGTAGAGGAGTTAAAATGTAGTATTCTTTTATTTTTAATTTTACCTGAGGATTGACTTGATACTGTTGCATGGGATATGCTACAACTCCAGCAGTTTGTGGTAGGGAATTACTAACAGTTTGCGTAATTTGTGGTGCTGTTGTTCCGGGTAAAGGTGCTTGGGCTGGTATACTTTGCCATGTAGCTGGCACTTGAACACCCATTCTAAAAGAAAATTAAAGAAATTAAATTTATTGGTTAGCGTAATTTCAATGGTTAGAAGATGATACAAAAGTGACTTAAAGTTGTTATACATAAAAATCAAAATGGCTAACATGGGGATTTTGTAGAGAAACTCTAATTTTAAGCGTAATTATGAGTTTCAGTTTATTGTATGGTTATCCTGTTGTATGGAGGCCAACAAGGTGAACTTTGCGCACATGCTTGATATGAAAAGCCAGTATGACGAATAAAAGTACATGGCTTAAACGAGTCAGGAAGTTACTCTAAGTTGATTAGTATATTAAATGGGGTACACGACCAACATTTTTGTATAATACAAAATCAACAGGAATTTATAATACCGTCTCCACTATAGTAATGTATCGTTTAAAATAAGTTTTGAACGTTTTTAAAAATAAAATATAACAGTTTTGCTATAATTCATAATTATGAACATATTCTAGTCCAAACTAGTTTAAGATCTCAATTGAATGCGTTTTCAATCAGTTAAAAGAAACCAAGTGTTCAAATTTCAAATTCTATTCCTCTGAAAAATTTTAATAGGTCAACTAATCTATTAAATCAGGGAACAAATGAGTACTAACTGAACCCATTCTTCAATGTAAAAAATTAAAAAAAAATATAATTTTAAACATTATCAAATTTAACAATTTCTTTCTACATTTATTTCTTATAACATTAACTGCTATTAACCAGTAATAAGCAAGTAATAAATTTTATTTAATGTATTATAAAATAAAAGATTAAACAGAAAGTTAACTGACTGCAAAATGATATTAGCTTACCCCATAAAACCTTGCTGATAACCGCCAAACTGTCCAAATGTTGTAAATCCTTGCATTCCTTGTAAGTATTGACCCGGCTGTAAAGCATTTGCTGCTGTTGTCGCTGTTGGGGCTGCTGTAGCAGCAGCAGCAGCTGTTTGGTATGCAGTGGGTGCTGAAGGATACCAATATCCGGTTACGTGTTGTCCATAGGCTGCTGCTGCAGCAGCTGCAGCTGCTGTACCAAACGGAAATCCGTGTCCGAGTGCTTGACTTGCTAAGGCAGCCATATGTAATGGTTCGCCACTTTCTTTGCCCCACGCACACTTGACCAACTGTTGATTTATCTCCGTATTGTGTAGAGCAACAATTGCATGTGTTGCCGCTTCCTTAGTAGAGTATCTACAACAAATGAGAGAGAGAATATGTGAGTTTGTGGCAAGCAGTGTTATTCATTTGTATATAAATACACATACATGGTACAAATTGTACGAACAAATAACTATTCATTCAATTTAACTTAAAAATCATTGAAATCATGTACGTTGTAATGCACATGGTCATACATTTATACATATAATGTCAGAAAAATATATATAAATATTTGTATGTCTTCAGTACATATGTATGTAAGCAAGTGTAGGAAGTATTTTTCTGTTAAATACACAGAATGACCTTAATCGGTAGGAGGAAAAAGTCATCACTTCATTTTCATTGACGTTTTTACGATATTAATTCAAATGGTAGTGGGATTTAATGATTATTAGCCTCGCTGGCTTTTATGGATGTTGAATGTTTCAGTTGCAACTGTTTTATTAAAATAATGATCTTTTGTATTAAACAATTACATTATATTGGAAATGACTTAACGTTTAAAGAAATATTTTAAATTGATTTTTAAATTTTTAAGAAATTTTATAGAATAATATTTAACAATCTTTAATAAAAAAGGGCCTATTGCAATATGTTGTTAAGGCAAATAATTCGAGTAATAAGAATTTTATTACTTTTTTACAGCAAGTGCTTAAAACGTTCTTTGTAAAATTTATTTTTTTAACATAAAATAATGATGTAACAATCATCAAAAAATCATAAAAATATTGCCAACTAATGTGCAAATCCAAAACCAAAATTTGGCATATTTCCAGAATATCTATAACAAATTATACAATTCTCCACATATAAATTACCTGATTGTAATTAAAATAAAGAAATATTTAAAACAGAAAACCTTACCTTACAAATGCATAACCCTTATCCTTGAACACACGTATCTCTTGTATCGTACCGAATGGTGAAAATGTTTTTTGTAAAATTTCCTCGCTTAGAAAGCCAGCCAACGTGCCATTCATGCCACCACAATATACGGTACAATTTGAGGGGCTGCTCTGATTGTAAACCTCATCGAATGTTAAAGGTTTGCTATTGGCTGAAATGATTTATTATGGATATTCATAAATTAAATTGGAAAATTAAAAAAAAGGTAATAAATAAGTATATAGAATGAAATTTCTATTATGTTGTTACCCCTTTTTAATATAAAATAATTTGTATTATTTTTTTTATATAAAATTTAATTAAAATGCATTAATACTAACCATCTGGTTTGGCGTTTGGCGGTTTTCTTGTTGCCCAATTCGTACGTATTGAACGTGAACCCAACCATTGACCATTCATGGCTGTGATGGCGGTTTCCGCTTCCTGCAAAACACACAAAAAAAAAAGGGAAAACATTGAAAATAATAGCGCGAACACTGAACAAAGCAACATAAAAGTAAAAAAATAGAGGATAATAATAAAAATTGCAATAAATAAGTAAATGTATAAATTGTATAAAACGTATATCCGGTCTTTTTCAAATAAAAGACATGGGGTTTATGTTTTCTATTGTTCCATTCTAGGTTTCTTGTTGTTGTAATTGTAAGTTTTCTCTTAGTATTTAACCTTTTATTTTTCAATAGAATATTGTAAATATTTATAAACAAAATAAAAATTTAATTTAGATAATATTTTGTTAATGTTAGAAAAGAAATCCTACAAGTTCCCAGCAAAAATTCGGTAATGATTTTCAGTTGTAACTACTTAGCTATTAACATACTTTTCAATGACTACTACATATCGTCCTGATTACATATAAGTAGTCTTATAACGTCTTATTAATAATGTGTTATATAAATACTTTCTAATTCATTAGTCATTTTCTCCGTGAAGCTATAGAAGCTGTATATGTTTTTACGTAATATTTACATTGACCACTCTTTCTAATTACTTGTAAGCAGTTATGGTAAGTAGTTGTTTCCAATGACATCACCATGTTAAAATAATGACTTAAAACGCTATTATAAGTAATATAAATGATCCTTATATGGGAGTTGTGACCAATTATGGACCGATCAAGAAAAAATTTCGTATAATGATTTATATGCAAAAAAAAATTCAAGTCGAATATTACTCTAATAGATTTATTAATTAATAAAATATGTGCGTTTAAGTGATTTTCAGAAGTGGACCTTATATAGGAGCTATGACCAATTACAGGCCTCTCCAGAAATATTTCGTAGAGTGATTCATATGTATGTACACAAAACATATTTGTGTCGAATTTTCTTAAGATAACTTTATTTGACAATGAAATATGTGAGTTTAAATAATTTTCTGAAGAGGTCCTTATATGGGAGCTATGACCAATAATGGACCGATCCGGGGAAAATTGGTATTATGATTTATATATACACAAAACATATTCAGGTTAAACTTTATACCGATAGCTTTATTTGTCAATGAAACATATGCGTTTTAGTGATTTTCGGAAGTGGACCTTATATGGGAGCTATGATCAAATATGGTACTATCCGAGAGTGATTCATACGAAACATATTTGTGTCGAATTTTATCAAGATACCTTTATTTGACAATGAAATATGTGCGTTTAAGTGATTTTCTGCCTTATATGGGAGCTACGACTAATAATGGACCGACCCGAAAAGAAATTTGGTAGAATGATTTGTATGTGCACAGAACATATTCAGCTCGAATTTTATCACAAAAGCTTTATTTATCAATGAAATATGTCCGTTTAGGTGATTTTTGGAGGTGGACCTTATATGGGAGCTATGACCAATTGTGGACTGACTGAGATCTACGTTGGTAGTATGATTTCTATTCATATTATATTTGTATGTGCAAAATTTTTGTGTTGATACCGATATATTTTAGGGAGTTATTAACGGTAAACTAACGGTAAATTGTGTGACGAAATATCTTTGGTAGTTTCTGAGAAAACTACTTAAGAATTGGGAGAAAAACCGTTATTTTTTTTCGAGGTAGTCTGAAATTTTTTGTGTGAATTTCGTGAATTTCTACTGCTTCGTTTTAACGTGAGCGTGTTTTACACAAACAGACAGACGGACGGACAGACGGACGGAAATCTACTCAGAATTTCATAAAGCTCAAGAATATATATACTTTGTTAGGTGTCAGATGTATATTTCTTGGTGTTACACACGGAATGACAAAGTTATATATACCCTCTGATGGTGGTGGAGGGTATAAAAACAGTAAATTTCAACATTTTTAACTAAATTAAAATAGGTTTTTGTTGGTCAAATAGGCCGAAACATGGAAAGCATATGTTTTCATAAAGATTTTCGGAAATTGAAGTTTTTTTAAAAAAATTCTAAAGCTGTTAAAAAAATCTATAAATCGCAAGGTTTCGCTAAAAGTGGCATTTTTGTTTTACATTTACAATTTCGAAGTTAAAAACTCAAAAGAATTTTAAAATTTTCATGAATTTTAAGGTATTTTTAGAACATAATCTTTTAGAATTTCGAAGATAGCGACGTTGATTTTAATTGTAGAAGTGTAAAATTTAGCAGGAACGTGTATTTTAATACAGTGCATCATAATCAATCAAAAAGTCGATTTTGATTTTTTTTGTAATTTAGGGCCTTTTGGATTTAATATGACGATATATAAAACTGTGTGTTAGTATGTTTGTTTGTTTGGACTTTATAGACAACTAAACGGCCAAACCGATTTTTCTGAAATTTTCATTGTGTCTTCCCCGATGTCTGAACGAAACTATATGCTACTTTTTACTTTCGCACTTCAAGTGGGAGACGTGCCACGCCCACTTACAAAATAAGTATTAAAAGTCGCTTATCTCATAAACTGCAAGAGCTAGAGTCCTCAAATTTTGTATATAACTTTGATATCTATATGTATACATGGGAATAAAATTGGCAACCTAGCTAAAGTGGGCGTAGAACCTCCCACATATATCTGAGAAAATATATCGGAGGAATTTTGGTATCAACTTAAACGGGGCGTGTACTTTTATTAGGGAAAAAATCGTATATCTGGGAAACTGTAGGAGCTAAAATTTTTAAAAAATCGTAAAGTGGGATTTTTATTTATATTAACTTTAGGATAGCAAAGCACACAGCTAGTATAGCCAGTACAATTTGGCAAAAGCACAGAGGTTGTGCTTTTACAAGTTAAAGTTGTATCCTTTCTTAATCTAGAAAGTCTTGAAGGGAATTAAGTGATAAATGTGATCTGTTCACAACTAGACTATAAAAGAGTTTATTGGAGGTATAATTAATTTAAAATATATTAATCTTTTTTTAAGTATAAAATTTAAGGTTTATTTATTTTTTTATAATTTTTTGTTGTTAAATAATCCAATTAGGCTAATTTTTTATTTTCTTTTACGTTAACACAATATATTAAATAAAATTACTTTTTATACCAGCTTTAAAAAACTGCTATTTAATTATAATATAGCATTTAAATCCTTTTATATTTCAAGTAATAATATTCTAACTTATTGATGTAAAATATTAAATATCTTCTTCTTTCAGTCATTTTAATTTCATGTTAAGCTTTCTTAAGATTACAAATTTTCTACAGTCTATTGTCTTCAAAAGACAATCACTTAAGTACATGCATGCGTATGGCTATACACACATAACCTCCATTTTCCCAGAAGTGACAACATCCGTTAAAGATTTCAGTTAAATATCTAATCGATAAATTGAACAATTGTATTTGGATAAAAGTTACTTCACTAAATGGAATTCTTGTGCGTATCTATTAAAGTTAAATATGTCGTCTTATTTATTTATGGTAGTGGTAATTGTTGTCAATATGTTATGTATATATGTGTGGAAAAGATGGCCAGATATTTAATGGCTGAATAATATAATAACAATAATTAAACAGGTTCGAAATTTCGTGATATAAAAATATATTTTGTTTTAATTTGTTATTTTCAAAACAAATACAAATTTTCACAAAAAATTAAATAATTATAATTTGTTTCACAAAAAATTATATAATTTGATTTTGCTTAAATTTAATTTTCCAACATATATTGAAAGCCTGGAAATTTCTTTAAAAACAACACTATAAATCGTTGCAAATATAAACATTTCTAAAAGTCATTAACATTGAAATAGTATCTGGTCACTCCTTTTCTTTTAGCAAATCTATTAATACAAACAATGTTGTAATGCCAATATTAAACATACTTCCATTCTCCTACACACTTGGCGATAAACACACATATGTATGTGTAAATACATATGTATATAGTAGATCCATTACCCTAATGTAATAGTTAAGGTTATTGTTTTGAAGGTCATACTGAAAAAGAGTGTTTAACACAAAAACATTCTAACATATGTATGTATGTGTGTGCGATTGTTGAGACAAATGTACATGTATGTCTCATTGTATAAATAAATATTTGCAAAAATAATAGAACTACTTACTAACACACATATAGATACATACATATAGTAGTATCTTTACACATAAATAAAATGTTATACATAATAGGAAACCTTAAGGGATCCATTGTCTTTGATGTTGATTTTAATGAGCATCATGGGATTATTTTCATAAAAGCAGATTACGATTGTTTGGTTGTATGGCAAATCTATCTTTAGCACATACATATACATAAGTATATGAATTATACAAAGTAAAGTTTCTCTTTTGCTCATTTTTCCTCTATTTTAGTAAATTCAATATTTAAAATAAAATGTTTCAAAATAAGATTATGGATAGTAGTAGCAGAAGTTGTGAATGAGTGAATATTCAAGGGAAAAAAACTTAAAACAAAATGTGTAAAGAGTGAAAAGAGGGTTGAAAATAACAAAACTTTTAAATTAATGGTAATAGACTGACAACTTTTCTTTCGTGTTTTTAAGTGTTTATTGAGAAACCCAGCAACATTTTCGTACATCTTAGATGTTTATACAGGAAGTTTATACTAACACTACAAAGGTGCTTGGTGAAACTTTGCTTCAATTTCTTTAGACTTCGACGCCTCCGATATATTAAAATATTATTTATTTTCTTACATATGCCCCTAGCATCCCACTAAGTGACCACAGAGCTCTTAAAGAAAATGGTCTAAGCTTTCTTTTGAGTAAAAAAAATACAACAAAAACGTCCATTTTGTAAAAATAGGGTACAATTAAGTGCCAAATATTGAAAAAAATCTTATTTTCAAGTTAAAAAATATTTTTTTTTTTGTTAGATATCCTACTAGGATCATATTATGGGACTATAAAGACCTTCAAGGAAATTGTACAATCTTTCTTTTAAACAAAAAAAGTAAAAGGGCCCATTTTGAAAAAAATATAAAAAAAAATATTTTTTTTTGAAAGAATGAAGAAATAACTATCTGAACT